TGATTTTTTTTCTCATCCATTCCCATAAATTTCCAGTTGTGTCAGAAATATGCTTAATGGTAAAAAAAATAATCATTGATATCAGCATCAAGATTTTGATGCATGCAAATTGTGTGTGTGTGTGTGTGTGTGTGTGTGTGTGTGTGTGTGCGCGCGCGCTAAAATCCTAATTATGATATTTCCAACAGTGCCTGGAGATTGCATTTGTTCCATCATTATAATCACAGCCAATTACCATATGGTGTTAGCTTTAATTGCTAATCCTGCACACATGGGATCACTGAGAGAAACATCCTGTGTGATTTTTATTTTTTTATTTTTTTACAGTTATGTCCGTGCACATGTCCAACTTTGGTATAATTAAACACTCAGGAAATAAAGCTAATTTTAGTGTAAAGCTGGGCTTTTCTCTTGCAAGACTCAGAAGGTGGACATTTTAATGAATGCGCATCGTTGAACCTGGCGAGCTTATCTGCATGTTAATCCTGCACACACAGAGCAGGGAGTAAGTCCATTTCATATTACTGTGGGGTGATTTGACTTCATTGATCTGCACTGGACTTGGCACAAGGTCAGCTTAATCTTGCAGAGTCTGTGTCGTTTGCTTTAGAGCACCTACCTGGATGCTTGTTTTTTCTTGAGGTTTTGGGCACGAGGTCAAACCATGACATGAGTTTTCAGGGAAATAAACAGTGTGTCAAATGTGGTTAATGTCTTATTTCTACAAGATGAAAAGAGTAAAAATTCCAAATATTAATGACAAATAAAAATTCAAATTAACACATTACTTTTTTTGTACATATATTTTTAAATGGATGTGCAGTATGTGTATGTGTGTGCTAAAACGTCATTGACATCATTGACACATCATTGAAACACTTGTATTATTTTGGTCTAAGGTTTATTTGTCTTTTTGATAGCAAGTACGATGCTCTTTTGAAGACTTTAGTTTGCAGAGGCACAGGAACTGGCAACACTGTGACATCCTTAGAAAATGTAAAATATTCATTTTTGAGAATCTAAATCTGTATTCAAATATTTCTCTTGTTTTTATTACAGTTCATAATACTGTGCCTCTGCCATTAAAAATGTTATACAACTTAGCTCAACACAGATGTGCTGAGCTTTGAAGTTGATTGCTCTGGTCACAAGATTTTCAGAAAACTTGCTTTGACCTTGAGGTTGAAGTAACTAAGATTCAAACTGACTTTTACGGCTGAGGGGCAAAGATGCATCCCTGACATGTTATCTTCAGATGTGATGTTAAAAGAACTTTGTTTTCAGAATCACTGCAATAATTAAGGTTGTGATCCAAACTGTTTAAAAAAAATAACAACTATTCCTTGAAGCTCATTTTAGCTTAAAAGCTATTATTGATATTAATATTAGAGTCAGTTCTCAGATTCATTGGATGCATGTGTCATTGATCCAAAAAACTCAAACAGAGGATGCTAATTTGCTTAATGAACTTGAGGATAAGCAGAGACTTATAATGTGTTTGCATTTTGTTGTTTAATGTTTGATAATGTTGATCCTATGACCCTCATCCAAGTACAGTGAGAGCCTCTTCATAGTGCATTGTGTACTTTTTGTTTAACCTTTTATGCTAATAAGATGTGTACCAGCACAGGAACACTTGTTATGTACCAGAAAGCTATTTCAGGAATTTTAGGCTATATCAGTATCTACATACACTGTCAATCAATTATTTTTTAGAGGGTTTTTCATCTTCCTTTTGCTGAAAATATGTTGTGTGACTATAATTATGTTGTTTGTATGCTTTCATGCTGTGGTATGACCTTATTACCAGTTAAATGCCTTGCTAATGGTATTGTGGGATGGATAAGACTATAAACATATTTCTAGTGCCTAAATTTTTTTGTAGTAATTTACATCTGTGGGATGTTTATAAGTTCCTGCAGTAGAGTGCAGTAATGCTATATTAATGGCAAACAAAATAAATAAATAAAATCCCAACCTTCACTTCAATTCAGTTCAGTGCAATTTGGCTTTATTTATATTGCATCAATTCACAACAACAGTTGCCTCTAGGTGCTTTATATTGTTAGGACCTTAACCTTGTTATGTATGCGCAATTCAAAACAGGTCAAAACCTGTTTACATTTACCAAAGTCGTCATTCATTCTCCTTAATGCATTTACCAGCCCCCACACACACCCATACCCATAAACACACTGGATGTGCTGGATCAACACTATTCTGTTGTCCACTAATTGTGGACCTCTAAGACAAACAAACACACATACACACACACACATGCACACACTGCCATAAACACACACAGGTCCTCAAGGCCAAGCTCAATTTGATTTATTAGCGTTTCACCAATCAGTTTTAAGACAGCTCTGTCACTGGGAAGGTCAGTGGAGAAAGGACGAGAGATCATCAATGCACACACACGCGCACATGTACACAAAGGAAGTTGGTTTTACTTGACTTTTTAACCTTTTAACTTTTCTCGAGTTGCAGGTCTGAAACTAAAACTCACACTCAACAGTGCTGAATCATAAAAAAAATCTTGCTTCCTAGAACTCTAACTCATTGCTGGATATTTCTATTGATAGAGAGGAAAGATACATATTTATCAGAATTACCTTTTTTTTTTTTTTATCACTTGTGCCTCTTTGTGTATTATACAATATGCAGTGGGTGAGGGGTCATTGTTCTAACCAGTGTTCCAGTGTCCATACAGAAGGTCTAAGATAACTCAAAAGTTTTAAAATCAGGATCTGAGCAGTTTTTTCTAACCTTGATAATTGATGAGTCTGACAAAGCTTTGAATATTTGTATTGTTCCGGTGTTTTGCACGATTTCCAGCCCCCGCAGAATTCTTTGAGCTCCTTTGTCTATTATACTTAGCGCTGTTTTCTGTGTACCAAAGTTCTTCTGTTTCATGTCATTGTTGACAGAACAACAAGTTACATTTTTCCATCTCCTGTCTGCTGACTCATCTGTCAGTTTTCACTCCCACTACTCTGCTATCAGTAGTTTACATAAATCACTCACTCATTTGCATGATTCCCTTGGCTTTTTGTAAATGCCAAGTTTATATCTGAATGTCAAGTACAATGAAGCCCTGATGAATCAAATCTCAAGTGAGCAATGATCTCCTGGAGCTTTACAGCGGTTTGTGATAGAAGTAGTTAAAAGTTCTTCAATGGTGGATAAGTTACCTGAGATCTCCTCACTTAGGGCTTTGTTTAGGGCTTAAACTCTATCACTGGTTTTAGAAACTTTTAACTGGTATGAATCAAATATCAGCAGTTCCTGTTTGCAAAGCAATCTTGGGTGTGGAGGACAGTAGAAGTATCAGTACTTTGACTCTAAAGAAAGATTAAAGTGTTCCTAAACTTTTGATTAAGTTTGTTTGGTTTCACATCCTTCCGTGCATGTGCAGTATTTGGACGGGCGGGGGGCATGCACCCCCAAGTTTGTAAATGTGATAAGTCGAGAACAAGGTGACATAAGACTTTCAAACGGATACCATAGGTGAATCCCTGTGGCCTTGAACCCAAGTTTAAGGTCAGAAGTCAAATTTCCTGAAAATCCTGTGAACTCAATAAATTGAAAAAAAAAAAAGAATTTAATTTGATACCTCAGCTGCATCTAGTTCAAATCCCATGGCCTTGGCCTCAAGATCAGCTTTTCTGAAAATCCACTAGGATTTTCAAAACACAGGTGCATTAGGAGGCTGAGGGATAACACTGGGAGCTGCCAGTACTTTTATTTTTGCCATCAGCATTTCTCTTCTCTCCCCTTCTTTGTTTTGATGCTTCACTGTCCACACATCTGTTCTGTTTTTCCTCGTTCTTCTTCTGTTACTGATTGAGTGTTTTTTCTTTGACCCTTTTAATCTTCTTTTATGTTTTAAATGTTTTTTACTTTCCTTATTTATCATTTTTCCCATTTTTGATTTTACTCATTTATCCAGCTGTTATTAAAACAGATAAAAGTAGGAGATCACTTTGTGGAGAGGGTGGCGATTGCTACGTGATGCTTGTTATATTAGTTTTCAAATTCTGCTCTGTCATCGATTTTGGTTGTCTCGTGATAAAACAGCTGCATTTTGGGCCACCATAACTTAGTGGATCAGATCAACATCGTTGCTTGTTATCATTGTTTTTCTAGATATTCAGATTAGACTGTAGCTGTTCTTTCCTTTTCACTTATGGAAGTGGTTAGTAATTAGTACACATATAATTATAAGTAAATACAATTTTAGTCTCTGTTTGGTGAAAGACTTTATTAGAGGAATGAGAAGAGCTTAGTTACTGCAGTTATTGCTGATCGGCTGTTCTTTCAGTATTTGTTGTATTTATTCTCTTTAATTAATTAATCTAAAGAAGAAGAAGAAGAAGAAGAAGACTGAGTGGATTATAGAAAGTGGTTTGAGCCTAAAGAAGCATAACTAACAAATGGTTTAGGATCATCTGATCCCGAAATAAAAACAAGCTTCATCAAAGAAGAAATGTTTATACATATAGATGAATTTTTGCAAAAAAGAACTTTAAATTTTAGAAAATAACCTTTCAAGTCCTTGTAATGAGTTGTATCATGTGCACCGATGTCTTTAAATCTGTATGAATAATGATCGAGTGCCTGTTTATTCAACAAAGAAAACTAATTTGCTTTCAGTCTCAAATTAAAGGCCCAATTTTTATGACTAATGAAGCAGAAAAGAAGTGGGAGGAGAGGGAAAAAACTTGGGAAGAATTCAGAAAATAATCAGCATAACTAGAGTAATTGGTTGGTATTGTGTGGAGAAATACATACATATACAGCTGTTGTCTGTGTTTTTGATGGGACATCAGTCTACCCTGAATTTAGTGTGTTGAAAGGGAAGAATGTTGGTAAAGAAATCAGCATTTACCTCTTTGCTCAGTTATGAGAATAATTCTTAAATGTCTGTCAGTGAGACTCCAGCAGCTGTCCTCTATTATCTGTCACTGAAACCGAAAATGTATCTTCTCTCTCTCCAGATACTTGTCTGTCTACATTGCTGCCTTCCAATCCATCCATTTGGCACTTACCTCCATCGCCATTCTCTCCAGGATGTCACTGAAGGTACAGACCAGTAATGTGACCAACAAGACAGACCCAAAGTCCATCAATTCACGGGTGTTTATTGGCAACCTGAATACAGCGGTGGTCAAGAAGTCTGATGTTGAGAGCATCTTTTCCAAGTATGGCCGTGTGCTTGGCTGTTCTGTGCACAAGGGCTATGCCTTTGTCCAGTACGCCAGTGAGAGGCATGCCAGGGGAGCTGTGATTGGGGAGAACGGCAGGGTGCTGGCAGGACAAACACTCGGTAAGTTGATGTGAAACAGCATGTGAATTATACTTTTAGTTAATAAAAAAAGATGAATAAAACTTGAGACTTTTAGGACTTCCACATTGTGAAACGACACTGTTGGTCTATTGGATTAGATATTCAGTTGAAGCTTGTAACCCACAAAAGGATTGATAGATTAATGTCTTCAGAATCTACAGTTTTGTTATAATAAAACTAACATCCAGCAGCTCTGACTACAACAAAACTCTCTAACCTGTGACAACCCTTAACCATCATTACATTCAATTTCCTCTTTAGTCTGTCTGTCTCTCTCTCTCATATATATATATATATTTTTTTGCTATTGCGGAGAAAAAAACATATCAGAGGAGCAAAAACAGTTAAGCGGAGTGTGCCTTTAAGCTGCTGGAGTGATTTTCTCCCCCTGCCTGGTCCCCCGGCGAAGCAGGAAGAGACGAACTGTCAGTGAGCTGGTGTGAAGAACTCGACTGGTTTATGCTCAGTCACTGCAGGGCTTCAAGCACATTTCTTTAATAG